TCATTTTCTATTTACGTGACTTTACCATTTCTTCCAAAGAGGATGAATTACTGCAGTCACGAAAGCTTTAAGTCAACACAAGTAGCTTTTCTTAATCAGTAAGAGTCACGCATAATGGTATTCTACACTCGTTGCCTTTTCTAGGATATTATTGATGGTGTGTCTTGCATGGCATCCTTAATTCACTCACTGTTAACTAGAGGTGATCCGCTATACTGAAATCAGACCTCTCACCTGCACCACTCCACCCCCAATGGCTCCCCATACAATTTCGGGTCAACTCCAAGATTGGCCTCACTCTTTTCAAAGTCCTCCGTGGAATTTCCCCTGCCTACAATTTGCACCTGATCTGTACGCCGTCTGCTCCAGCACCAGCCACGTTCAGATCAATGGGAGGTTGCACACGTTGCTGTGCTGCTGCTCCTATTGTCTAAACTACCCTGCCTATAAGCATCTGGATTCACGTCCCTAACTCAAGTCCAAGTTAAAGACTCTGCCGATATATTAACCTACATCTCTTTTTTACATATGCCACATTGCAGATGTCTTTCTTTGGACAAAAGACAAAGATCCCCCGTATCGTCTTAACAGACCCATGAAGGCTGGCGCGGCACACGAGGAGTTGGGTGGCCAACATCACACCCGGGCGCCTTTATCTCCCAGGTGATGATGTTTACACATCGCACCAGGTACTCAGTTGAGGCTCAGTCGACCTAGGTGAAGCCCAGCACCGGTTGAGATAATCGTCAATGGTGTTGGCCGTGAGCGGGAGTCGAAGTCGGTACGCCGGGTTCGTCACGCAGCGTAGCGCTATCCGCTACACCACTGCTTTCTGGACACCCACCCACCCCCAAGACCTGCTCATGCAAACAAGTACATATTGAATAATCCTCTTTCACAATCCTTCATCACAACTCCCTCCTCACATGCCCTCTCAACTCGCACCTGCCCTGCCCTTATTATGCCGACTTCTTGAAATACGGTTAAATTTAAATACATTTATAATTCCCAATTATAATTTCAAGATGTGTATTTTAATGCCATTCACTGGTGTGCTCTCGGTTCTGGGTAATGCACTGAGGGTAATTGCGTTGCACGTGACATTTATCTTATGCCTGCCTTCCTAAGAAGTAGACGGCAAACAATGGATTACAACATACCTTTGACGAAGGCGTAAAAGCACGGCATACACACACATATATTTAAGGTGATAAAATATTGTTGATATGTTTGCGTCAGTACGGCATTGTAAAAATCCACTTTATCTTAAGAGGGATGAGTTCGTTTATAGGATGACCGCTCTTTGCTGTGCACAACGTGATAGTCCGTGTTCCCAGCCCCGGGTGGATGCTTGGCCGAGTCACTGAGAATTTGAAATTGCAAACTTCTCAGTGTGAGCAGCATCACGTGGCTGGATATTGTGCGCACATCGACGCAGGCAGATACATCCGACGTGTGCTTCGTTTTGCAAAGCGTCGATTTGGACAATTTGAGAAAGCGTTAAAATGTTGACATACCAATCGGTTATTTTAGTTGTAGATCTTTGTCAATCCATTGCAGGATGAAGGCCTACCTCACGCTGTGTTAGTCACGGGGGGTAGCTTGACAATAGTTGACCATGCTAGCCAGTGATGGTTGGTGCAGAATGTGGTGCAGGACTGGTTAAGATTTGACTCCCCACTTGCTGCTGTTCTTACATAAAAGTTATGTAAGAGTTGTGTAACGGTGTTGATCTATAGCATCAATAAAGGAGTGCGCGTTGCACTCATCTATAATGTATAGTAGGACTCACGACTTTGAGAATGTGTGTGTGTGTTCCACTGCACCACATTCTTGGACATTACTATTACTGCAACGAGTCAAAGGTAGTGGGCTAACAGCACGTGCTTAACATTATTAAACTTGTTTTGAGTATCGTGTTCAATTTGTTATTCAAGTCATGATATGGATACTTCAAACATGTGTAGTGCACCAGTGTACTACCAAACAATGGGGACAATTTGCAGCATGTCTGCTGACCTACATTCTGCTCTGATGGACTGTTTCATAATAAGTACGTACAGTGGTTATGCATTACCACCACAGGAAGGTTAGCACTGCAAAATGGCATTCCAAGCGGATTCAAATGAGGAGAGATGAATCCACTGCCCCGAAATTCGAACGGTTCCATGCAACGAAATTACAGCCAATTTCCCCGTTTGGAAAATGCCACAATTTCTGAGCATTTTTCTCAGAACGTTGGAGCATTTAAGAGGTGTTTGACACTCATCCAACAGAATAATCACTTCCAATACGAATTATATATTTATGGATGTATTCATTTTCAGAAAAATTTCGCTTTTTTAAATATTTAGCTATATACTTCAATTGAAACTGCAACGCACATTACAGTAATTACAAGGCATGTGTGTTGAACTTATTTCGCACCGTACGTAGCCAACCGTGCTGATCGGAGGTGCGGGAACTAATCGGTGGTGGGTTACGTGAATGGTGTTAATCTAAAATGGTAAAATCCTCCTTGGTATTCCTGTTTGTCTTTGCTTATAGCTGTCAGGTACACACTATTCAAATTACGAAACCCCCTTGGCTCGCTGGCGATGTCACGCACCCCTGATTAGCATGGTTGCCTACGTACGGTGCGAAAGAAGTTCAACCTAGATATACATACGTCGCACCAAGGATGACGACCTCTTGCAATCTGTACTGGATGCATGCGATTCTTTTTAAAAAATATATCATGTACAGTCATCAACGAGATCAGGTAAGATGTGCTATGGCGTGGACTATGAAATAACTAGTAAAACAGTACGCTGAAGTCTGTGGTGGATTAGATACACGTAATACTTGAGGGCATGCAAATAATTATTCCACTCTACTAAGGTGTGGAACGGTGAAGTAGCTGTCCCTCATTTTCTCGTTAGACAGACGATGAGCATGAGCCATTGCAGTTTTCGTAATAAATACATGCATTGGTAAAAAAAATATTCAGGTGACACTGAACAATATTGACAAATCCACAATACAGGATCAAATAAACATTGGCTCTGAGTGAATCAGGAGTTGTTTTGCAAGCCATGGATTTGTTGGGAGCTTGTTAACCAGGAATGAAAACTGTATTAAGTGTGAGAGGTATGAGTTGTCAATAAAATGATTAATTGGATTTATGGCCGTTTGCAAAAAATAATCATCATGCAAAAAGCAGAGTAGGATAAACAGCTTAACCACAAAGAGCTCCAGACTGCAAGTATTGTGGTTAATGCAGACATGAATCCTTGTAAAAAGGTTTCAGTTTTGTTGCCAGAAAAAAATGGGAAAACCCCTATTATTATATTTTGGTAATGGCAAAGGAGGTCTAATGATGTAGATGCTCACCCCGAGCCCTCATTACTTTGATAGTACATTGTCTTTGAGCTGTACGCCTTTTGGCGTCCTCTGGTCAAGCACCAATTGGGTCGAGGCTCAAAAGAAAGCCGTCCCTTGGTGTGGACCAATCAGTTTCAAGGACAATGCATATATTATCATAGTGTGTTTTTGTTTGCATTTTGACCGTAAGTATTGTGGTTAATGCAGACATGAATCCTTGTAAAAACATCAGTTTTGTTGCCAGGAAAAAAGGGAGAAACCCCTATTATTAGCTCCAGAGATGTTTATATTGTGATAAGATCCCATCAACAAAACATTGTGAACGTTTAAAAAAATAATCCTCATGACCCACACGTGGTTAGAGGTTGTAGCAATGTCAAGAACAATAATTATATACATATATTTACTTATGTACAGTATGTATCGTGATCCCACTGTGGGATGCAATGTCAAACGACCACACTTGGGCAACCAGTAAGCAAAGTCACTTTTACAAAATGGCTGTGGCCGCCACCATATTGTTAATTGCACGTGGGAGTGGTGGTGGTGGGGAACGACTCGGGATCATGTACAAGTTTCGTTTTGATTGCAAAGTTTCATCGTGGTGACAGACTTTAAATGACGGCAAGAGATTAAATGGACGCCAGATAACGGAAGGCGTTTAAGGGAGACTTTATGGGAAACTATTGGCGGCATACCATCCATACCGGCTGATTTTAGTCGAATACGCCTGACTTTTACGCGCCCGTAAAAAAGGGACACGTGTGTAAGGCTGAGAAAATCCTGTCACGTAAAACTGATAAACCGCTCGAGTGGTAAGTCACGAGAGTGTTGATAGAAACACCTCACTGTTTTGCAGGCATGTAACCGTGCATCAATTAAAATTAATTAAGACACTCATGACACACGCATAGAATGGTGCGTGTCAGAATTGATTAGTTTTAAATGGTATGTAGTTGCATGTCATTGGTTCATTAAAATACTACATCCGCTAGAGGTGCTACACTCACTACAATAGCAACACATCAATCGAACTGAATCGTGTGGCAATTTATCGAATCGCGAGGACGATTAATTTATTATATTCCTACTTGTTTATTAGTATTTTGACCATATTCATGTAGTGTTACATTAACTATCAGTCTGGCGTGTGTATGTATTGGTAATAAGCGAGCTCTATTACAGCAGGATGGGAACTGAATATCAGCTTTGTATTCGTTCCTGATGCAATCGGGCCACTTTCTTACGACTCATCTCGGAAGAAAAGACAGACAGGGAAAGGATAAATTAAAATCGTGAATTACAACACGCGCCCATGAAACATATTTTACACAGCGCCATTCACAAACTGCTTGACAGCACTTTACATAAAATGGCCCAACCCTTACAAAAACGCTGGATGAATAAAAGTGAATAAAACCCTTAACAGATAAAACAATAACACTTTTTTTTACATCACTATGCAATAAAATACGGCGTGAAAAAAGTGCATTTAAACATGTGACCACTGAACTCTGTATTAGCCAGATAGTTTAGCCATACAAGATTTTAAGTCAGCCTCTGACCAAACGAACCTTTGCCTATGATTGTATACACGGCGCAGTTACCGTGTTTAATGTGTGCGAATGCAGTCTTACCCACAAGCCCTTTCGGCTGAGTGTAATATCTTCTAACCCCAGCACCAAATTCCATCTGCCAGGGAACAATGGAAAACAGTCAAACACGCGTGTTAGAAAAACATATCAGAATAACAGAAATAACGGGTCAGTATTTCATGATATCAGAGACATGTTTACCCACATAATTAGCACTGGAACTCAATTTTTGCACCGTAAGCAAAGGCAAAAGACCCAAATTGTCTCCCCACAGTCACAAATGCTAAATACGCATCGTCTCAGCAAAGCAACCGAGCTTTGCAAGGCTCGGCAATCAATGCCCTTTTGCAAACCGGCTCAAGACCGTATTAACATTGTGATGTTTAGTGGCAGCAGGGCAGCGCTCACTCGCTCACACACGCATCAGCTTTGTCCACGTTAGGTGGCCATCAGCAAGGGCGTGAGGCTGTGTGAGATTGTCTGGCGGCTCTGTGCGCCTACACATCGCCGGCGGCGTGGGGGCGGGGGGGTTATTGCATTGCCGGCTGTCCGGGCCCCCCGGCCGTTCCGTGTGCGCGCTGTCGTTGACACGGGGCCCAACAGAGTGCAGCACTGCCCGGAGAAGCACGCAGGATGAGGAGCGAACGAGCGAGCGAGCGAGTGGCCACGCGAGATGCTCTCGCACTCCCGGCGGCGTCTTCGTCAAACGGCGGAGGTCGTTTTTTTTTTGCTTCTTCTTCTTACTCGGAGCATTCATTGACTTTTTCAATCACGTGGACTGCTTGTGACTCATTGTGCCCGTTGTGTACGCTGTTAACGCGACTGCCGTAACATAATGTGACAAGGTAAGTCCATAATTTACGCCAATCAGTAATAATCATCAAAGCTTACTACAGCACACAGTAGTTTATTCATTTAGGACAACAGCAAAAAAAAAACCTGCTGTACTGCTAACACTGGCGGAAGCAAGTGAGCACGTCAAAAGCGAATGGGTTTAAGGGAAAATGACGTACGTTAAAAACGTAGTCATGTAATTAACCCATCGTAATTAATATTTTCCATCTCAGATTTTCTGACGGCATAGTCATCGTTGCATCCGATGGGAACGAGCCAGCAAGACGCGTTATAAACAGCTTAATGAAGAGGGCCGCTGAGTTTAACGCGAGGTAAACCCCGAGCAAAACAGCACAAGTTCGTGAAACAAATTCATCTGTCGGAGGGGACACGGATGGAAACTCCAGCAGAGTCTGCGAACATTACGGGAAAGCTCCTGAAGGACGCCCCGGGTCACAACGTTGGAACTAATTAGTCGGACGACAGCAGACTGGAGTGCGCTGGGGGATGCCGCGTGTGGGAATGCAGAGTAGCGCAGCAGCGTGCCTCGCGAAGAAAGGTTAGACTCGAACGCGTTGCTACCCCGATGTGCGGTACGGTTCAGAGGCATGGTCGTTAATGGCACAGAGTCCGCAAAGAAATATGGAGAGATTGCCAACCTTGGGATTACACTGCGAGAAAAAATGGCATCGTCCTAACTGTTAAGAGAAGTGGGCTTGGACAGGACTCGTCGCTGTCAGGGACGATGAACGATGGTCGAGAGTAATAACGGAGGGGCAGCCAATGAATGGAACGCATACGAGATACGTCCATCCAGGGGATGAAGTCAGCTCCTCGAGTGCAGGTTGCTAGGTGGACTATTACATGGCAGGATCGTGAGAGGTGCAGTTGGCTGGGGGAGAACTTCATCCAGCAGTGGATTGACCCGTGGCTGAATATTATAACTGCGGGTGAAGTGGTGGCACGGGAGTGGTGAATGCACTGCGTCGCGCTACGAAATCTGGTGACGAGACTTTACATTCCCAGCCACGGCTCGCTTTGGGGATGAGCGATATCTAAAACCGGTCCAACATGGAGCAGCATTAAGTCCCGTGTCGTCAAACAACCTCATAAGACCACCAAGGCCTGTGGAGGCAGTGCTGTGAGAAAGGGCTGCGACATCACCATCATAACAATGGTCATTGGAAACGGTTTTTGTTTATAACAAGATTTTTATTTTGTGAAATTAAATTGATCAGGGGTGCGTGCTTGAACGAATCCAAGATAATTTGAGCAGCCCCAAATACACCCTTGAACTGATCTTTATCCAATCAGCGGATCATAGTTAGTAGAATCTGATCTGATTTAATTGAGATCAAATTATAAAATTACACATTGGAGTATATTGCTTTAATTTATTTACTTAGCCCAACAATAAAAAAACCGTATTACTTTTAGTTGTTAATGAGTGTAAAAATAGTAAAAGCTAATTACAGTGTATTAATTACGGAGCGTGTTAATTATTAATTATAAACTGCTCTGCTGCTCGCCAGGTTAGCTCTCCTGCTTGGGAATTCAAGGTTGTGTTCAAAGTCGTCTAGAAAATGAAACGTATGGGGTGCAGTGGGTTTAATAGTTAACAGAAACCTTCCTTTATTACGTGTATGTTAACATTAATCACTAATGCAACTACGGTTACTGGGACATAACAAATTATAATGCATATTTAATTGTACTGTTTAACTAAATAACAATACAGCCAGCTTGGTTTGAACCTGCGAGGCCACACAGTCAGTAAGTTGCTAGAACAACAGCCCGAGGCTTGGACCTTTTCATCTCTTAATTTATTTATACTGGAGGAATCTGACGAGCTATAAAGCTCTTTTTCACAGATGCCCAGTAGGAGGTAGGTCAGAAAGTTACTTCAACAATAAATACGATACAGAATACCAGAGTAAGATAGAGAAAAGTTAATGAAGTCACGACAAAAATCATTGAAGAAATAAACATTAATTAAGAATAATGAGTACAAATTGCACAAGCACCAAAAAGCATGCGCGAGTTTACAAAGACTAAACTACAACACTCTGATGAAATCTTTGTCATACCATAGGTTGAGCAACCATGTTATTGCGAATAATGATTAATTAATAATGAATGATTCCTCCATGTACACCCTGCATATTGATCCTATTGCTTTCAATACACAATCAATCAAAGAGGCATTGTATGCTCAACATAATTTGATCAATATTCTAACAGCGCAGGTCCACGGTCCGTCAAATATTGGCAGGTGGGACACGGAACCAGTGCGAAGCAGCTTTTCACAGCAACGATAATCATGACAAGACGAGAGCACGCACACACACAGAGAGAGAGAAGGCCAACAACCTCGCACATTCTACACAGACTTGGAATGCAGTGCTGTCTGGGTATATTTGTCCAAATGATCACGTGTAGCCAATTCCAATTGATTCAACGCATCGTGGAACTCATAAAACCGTATCGATATGGAGGTATCGCACACCGACGCATTTAGGTAACAGCATGTTTGAGTGTGCACGTACATGTACACATTTGTACACATTTATGTGCACGCTCAAACATCTAATGTATACAATTATGGGGGGTATATATAGTGCTGTAGTGAGTCTCACAAGCGCAGGTCAAGCAACACACAGTGCTATTATTATTATTAACGTGTTCACATTACGCGCGACAATGTTGCATACCCTGAAGGCCGTGGCGCAGGCCAGTTTGGGGCAATAGTCATTCGGCATTCGACTCTGGCGGCGTTTGTCCGGAACTGGCACAGAGTGACAGATTCTGGCCGGACGACGACAGAAAAATGGTGCCTTCAAAGACTACTAATAGGGGTTTCCCCCCTTTTTTCTAGCAACAAAACTGACACCTTTTTCAAGGAATCATGCTTACAAAAACCACAATACTTGCAGGCAAATGCAAACAAAAACCAATACTCTGATAATTTACCATATGAGACTAGGCTCTAGGAAAAGCTGACTCTGGTGTGGACCAATCAATTTCAAAGACAATGCATAAATTATCAGAGTATTGTTTTTTGTTTGCATTTGACTGCACGTATTGTGGTTAATATTAACATGATTCCTTGCAAAAAAGTGTCAGTTTTGTTGCCAAAAAAAGGGGAAAACCCCTATTAGTATATTTTGGTACTGGCAAAGGAGGCATCATGATGCATTCAAAGACTGCCCAGTGAAAAACGCTGGTGGCGATTTCCTCCGAGATGGCCTGAATGTGTCGTGGTTTCTAATAAAATAATAATACTTAACTACCTCCAATGTCGCATTCTAATTACAAGTGATAAGCTACAGCCAACTTAACGGGACACTCACACACAATGTGAGATTACGTCTAATTGTAGTGGAGGATGCATGATGTAGGTGGCATATAGGTCGATACATCAAGCCCGATGATAAATGTTTTGTGCTACTGCATTGGCAGTGGCGCACAGACACAAACAACAACTTTACATATTTTCTCTGCTATGAAGAAGGAGCATTGCCCAAAATGTCACATATTACATATATACGTATCCTGTTAGGGCAGTGTTATTGATGAATGCATTGCAATTTTGATTATAAGTATGGCAGGTGCCATGGTTAGTACATGAGCAAGCGCAGCCGCATGCATGGGTGCCAGGGATATGTGTGTCCCAATGAACACAGACGCGTGGGTTGCAGCGGAGCATGAGGCTTCACATTTAGGCCCGGTTTAGCTTTGGGCGCTTTGTACTGTACATTTAAATTAAATATCAAAGTACATCACGTCGCCAAAAGATGTGTGAATGTATAGTAGCATCAAATATCATAGGGACCTTAAAAGGTTCTATGCAGGAAAAATACAACCTACCCAATATATAATTCACATCTCTAATCCAGCTGTCTTCTCGGGTGCCTTGTGTTATTAAAATATCACACTTTCTCTTTAATTTACATACATTTGAACGTATAACAGTCTTTTCATGAAATTCAACTTCCAGGAATATGCAGGAGTTAAACAAAGAAAGGTTAAATGATTTCCAACATAGAAGCGAAATAATCGTATTCTTGCTTCATGTCACACAAACCAAATTTCTCGCAGCCTCCTTCCCTTCCCAACAACCCCTTCCTTTCTCTGTTGATCCAGCACGACTTTTCAGACGCAATTTTTTCGTCACCCGGTCATAACGAAGCATCAACTGACGCCCATCGATGGACACAACCCAAACTGGTCAGCTCGATGCAAACGGTATCCATCTGAGCTCAC